CTCAGCAATAACACTTTGCAGAAATAGAAAATTTCTAAAAAATGAAGACATACACACATGCATACTTTCATGCATACACACATACCTGCACCTATGTTTGCAGAAGTATTAGTATATATTAGCAAAATGATGGACGTAACCCAAGTGTCCAACAGTAAGGGTTCATTTAAATAAATTGCTGTACATCTTGACACTACGTTATCATGAAATAATTTTTAAGAATATTACAGAACAGCACTGATTTATATGAAAAGTTAGCCACAATATAATATTAAAGAAAAAAGTTTATAAGACAGCATATATAGTACAGTTTGAGCATATTTGAAATAAATGTATGAAAATAAATTTTTGATATAATTACAAATATTCATGTGTATATTTGTGGATTTATAAGAAAGGAAAAATTCAGAATATAGACCAAAATAATGACAGAAATACAATTATACTAATTTTTTACTTTAATCTTTATATTTTTTCTGTATTGTCTGAACTTTTATAATGAAGGATTAAGGGTTTTAAAAATTAAATTATTTCAACTTTGAGGTAAAACAATTTGTATTCATCATTTTGAATGATGATATAATATCTCATTGAACAAATATTCATGATTTCCTTGCCCCTTTCCCATGGGGTTCCTATACTCCATGTCATGGATGCTTAAGTCTCTTTGTTTTTCTCGTTATTTCCTTGGATTATAGTCTCAGAGAAACAAGTATGGAACCATGGCCTATTAAGGCTTTATTACTCATTGTCAAACCCTTTCCAAGATTTCCCCTGTTTACATGCCCACCAGCAGTGTTGTTTTACTCTTCTGTTGCCAGAATAGGTTATTCTTACTCTGTAACATCCTTGCTGTTTTGATGAGTGGAAAGTGATTTTTGTAACCAGATGTTAAAATGGAAGTCCAGCCAAAACATTAAGTGGATCAAGACCAGATGTGAAACTACTGTGCTAGATGGACACACTTGTTCACAGTAGTTGCCATCAGCTCACATTGAGGGTATTAAAGGGTAGACGTTGGCTTGAAGACTGATTTTGTAGCTGTTAGGATGTTGGGAGTCATTACCTCCACCAGCCCTGAGTGGAAGGAGGGAGCAGAGGAGGGGCGCCCCTCACCTCGAGCCCAGTGAGAGAGACCTCAAGGGGCTTCTGAGAGTGCTTGACAGGAGTCACCCACCCCTGGGGACACAATGGACCATGAACTTCCAGGCTTCGGAATTACAAAGGACAAGAGAGGCTGTCTAGGTATGGATGGAGGAGTTGAAAGGGAGGTGGCTGTGTTCTGTGGCCTTCTTTCAGGGCAAAGAACGCGTGAATGTTTCTGTTAGTAGTGATTTAAGCCATGTGCCAGACAGTCTTGCCCTAGAAGGCAGCCTGGAGGGGCAAGCAGCATTGTAGAGAGAGGCTAGAGGTATAGCCCAAGAGCTGTGGCATTGATCAGCCCCAACAAGGGCACTGCAGGTGAAAGATCTCCAGCAATGGCGGGGAGAGGTTCTCCAAAGCATCCACAAAAGGATGGTGAGAAATACAATAAGCTTTAAACGTCTGCCAGGTCCAGAGAATGGTGATGCTAGATCACCATGGTAGGATCAGCCAAGGAAGAACCTCAGCAATCCCCTTTCCTCTCCTTCGTTCCCATCCTCCAACCCCTGAAGGACTAGAAGCCTTGGTTAGCAATACTTGGTGGGGGGCACAGAAGAACAAGGTGGAGAAAGAAGCCACTCACACTTCTTTCATCCAAAGGAGCTGGGGACAGGCGAAAACCTCAAGACTTTAAACCAAGCTTGGAGTTTCAACAATTACTTGGGATGGACGTTCTCATTAATAAATTGGGACTCTTTGAACTACCCGAGAGTGACAAGCAAGGCTGTGGAAGCTGCTTGAGCTCTTACTCAGGGACAGGGGAAGAATTGGCCCACAAAGCAAACTTTGGAAGAGAAAAAATAGAGTTGCATTATGACAGTATGTGTGACATTTGTATTCCTTTGGTTGTACGTAAATATTTTTCAAATATTTATTTGGCAATTGTATTCCTAGTCTTTATGAATTATATTTGTGTCCTGTCTGTATTTAGATATCGGGATCTTGGTGATTTTCTCACTGACCTCTGTGATACGTCTCCATGAACTCTTGTCATGGACATCGGTGTTTGCTCAACAGACTACTCCACCTTATAGAGCTTAATGAAATAAAATGGAAAAAACTAACACCAGCATTCACTTTCTATTCAGTTAGACGCGTGAACCAGGAGCTTTAACTTTTCCATCTAAATTCTAAGTTGTAGTCAGGCCAAATTCTATGCCTTTACTACACAGCTATTTTAGCCAGAGTAGCACTTAGGCTTTCTCAAACTTTCTTCCACTTAGTGGCATAGCATCCTATTAAATTACTTGTGTGTTTGACCCTCTAAGCCCTTAAAATTATCTCATTATGGTCTCCCAGAAAACTACTGCAGAGAGATATATTTAAAATTGAAATTAAAACCTCGATAATGGAAAATATCCTAAGTAGAACTCCAGAAATGGCTTTTTTAGTTGATCTTTTCAATATCTGGGCAGTGCAGAAAAAAATTCAAGGTCTATGTTAAAAACAGTTCACACTTTATATCTGGGCCTAGGTCCGTAGGCAACATCCTCTACAGCACTTTTGATGCCTAAATAATTAGAGATTGGCAGAAAAACACTTGGGCTGAGCCATAGTTTTGACTATGCCTAACTACTCTCATTTAGTTTCAATCTTTGATAAATTGGGAAATTTCTCAGAATTGAAACCTTCTTTCATCTACTTGGACCTCCTTCCTCATCCACGTGCAGCCCAATGCTGATACTTTGTGCTGATAAAGAATAGAAGTATCATCTGCACCTGTCGACATACTGTACTCTCTAGACTGGATTGGTGAGGGTTGGGCCCTTCCAGGCACGACCATATTTGCTCTGCTTTCAGCAGTATCCAGAGTACTCCCTACTCTGCTAACCCAGCCTTTTCTCTTCTTTCTTTTTACCAAAGAGACTGGGAGAAATCGCTTAAGTTGATTTGACTTCTAAATAGTTTCTTTTGAAAAGGTCCTACTCATTTATTCATTCATTCATTCAATAAATGCATGTGAAACAACTCTCTACTTGGTGCTGCCTGTCCACACCTTCATTGTGTTTCCTAGACAATTAAAGAAAAATTGCATTCTAGGACACCTATATTAAAGGATGCATAACTTCCTAGTGAAGAGTCATCTAAAAAATAATCACCCTGCTCCTGCTTTTATTCATTAGTTTACCTAATGAGGTTAGAAATATGTTTCCCAAAAGGGGTCTGATTTTGAAAAGAACAAAGATTAGATGACCAGAATCAATAATGCAAGTAAAGGCTAATCCAGGAGGAGACATGGAGGAGGAACAACTGATGGGCCCCTTAGCTGGGGCTTGAAATTTGATTAAAGGTAACTCTACAAGAAAGCTGAAGTTATTTAATTAGATATTTAAAAAGATTCAATCTTTCCCTCGTGAAGAGACACCCTCAGGGGTATTGCACATACGCTATGATCTCTTTTACCAACTGCCAAGAACATTTTAGGTATTTTGTGAAAATTACAGTGGCCTCTACAGTAAGAGTTTCTTCAGGAGTGAGCGCAAACTGTGGCCAATTAGGAAATTAACACATCATGTCATTTTTGTTTTTGATGTTTGACTTTTACTAATTTTGAAAATGAGTCATTTTGAAAATTACTAATTTTATTAAAAAAATAAAATTACCATGGTAGGTTGTAGAAAGCTGTGTTCTGAAATCGCATCCTGGGTTCTTACAGTTTGTAGTAATGTTAGCATCATTCCACGGTTGGCGCCCTCCTTTGCCCTTGATCTTCATATGGGAAACCTTAGAAGGCAGAAATTGGATAAATAGCATCAATGTTTGCAGTGGTCTCAGATTTTCTGTGTAAGGTATTTCCTCAGTGATTCCAGCTAGACTTCATTATCACAAACTGAGGGTGGTACAGCTTAGTGCAAAAGCGGTATTTATAAGGTGTCCCCCAGAGCCTGCCTTACGAAAAGTAATATTTGAGAGTCCTCATCTGGTGGATTTATTCAGCATCTAGAATATATAGTTTATCTTGAATTTTATGAGACTCAAATATTATATATTATGGAAAAATAACAAAAAATATTCTGGAAATCGAGAGTGTACCAGAGGGCTCTGAATGTCTTGTTATTGTCGTAAGAGTCACTAATATTCCTGAAATAACTGAAGAAATTTGACTGCTCGATGGCAATGCTGCTGTCACCATCCTCCCTCCCTCTGTCACCTATCCCATAAATCTGCTGCCCAGATGGACTCTCCCTGGCAGCCGAGGAGACTAAGTCCTCAGGAAAATGGAATTAAAAGGTAGTCCCATTGTAGTTAGGTAAGATGTCGTACTCTTGTCTCTCCTTGTGACAAAACGATCGATCGATGATGGTTCCTTGTGAAACGACACAAAGGAGATGCCAAGGAGCCTTCAGTTTACATTAATAGAATCTTCCTATTGATAGAAGAATAATTGAATGTGCCAGTAATGATTCCCTCTTCATGCAATTCCCTTCTACAAAATGGTGTTCTCTGTGTATAGAACACCATTCTCTGTGTATAGAACACCATTTTGTAGAAGGGAATTGCATGAACTGTGTATCTAGATGTTTAAGTTCATTTGATGTCTTATTTAAAAGGTTTTTTCCCCCCTTTATTTTTTGAGGAAGCTAAGATCGTGACAACCATTTAATAAAAATAAAGAAATGGCTAGCAAGTTTCTAAACATGCCTATTATCTTATAACACCATAAATACGACTACGTTTGAATTTCAGTAATAACGTTACAAATTATTTATTTTTGTCAAAAAAAAAATAAAAATAGAAAATTACAACTGGGAAAAAAGTGGCAAAAACCAATATGTCTTGATTGGTAATAACATATTTTTATTTTTAGTGTGTCGGGGTTGATAAGCATGTGAGAAATGATTGATTTTTCCCCGCAGCGGTTTACCTCTGCAAGAGGACAATGCAGAACAAGGCGAGGCTCGAGCTAGCAGACTACGAAGCTGTAAGTACCAAGGCCTTCCTGGCAAAGACAGTCATAAAATGAATAGGAATAAGGCCTGTGGTCATTTCTGGGGACTCTGTTAACTTTCTACCTTCATAGATTTTAAGGGTCAGATTTCCAGGGATCAGGCAGCATAATAAAAATAAATCCCTGACTTTCTTCCTTCCTCAAATCATTCACATTGAGGACGGTGAAATTCTAAATACACAAACTTGGAGTAGAAGGGGGAAGCATACCTTATTTGCTAAAATTGACTTAAGTATAAAATCTTTAGATACATTCTACATATAGTGGAGATATCCAAACTTAGAGAATTAAAGAGCATTTACACCGGGAAAATGGTTTTTGCAAAACCTTCAAGTTGGTCACCATCAGCAGATAAAATCAATCTGATGTAATTTGTTCAGATGGCTGCTCTGTTGTGAATGACTGAATTTGAAGCACTTTCTAGAAATGGGTAATAGGCTGCCAAGGGTTTACATTATTGTCAAGAACTGGATAGACATTGGATCAATAGTAGAAACGTATCCCTTTCCTGTGCCTCAGTAAAATGGCCACAGAAAATGGATTAGTCTTGAGCACTTTTTTTATACAAGGTCATCTTAGTATTTTAGATTTTTAGTTGTGTTCTCTAGAGTCAATTATTGTAATTGACTTTATAATTATAAATTATATTATAATTTATTATAATTATAGTAGGTTTTTCTGTTTCCTCTGTGATTGTTAATATGAGGATTAGTTGCATTCAGTGAGCATGACTTCTCGTTCAGAACCAGAGTACACTTACTACTTTAGAAATTCTACACCTGTTTTCTTGACAAATACGTGCGGTAGATAAACTAGAAGGGAGTGGTGAGGATGAGAACCAGAGTATCTTCACCTGTGGTGTATTTTCAGGAGAGCCTGGCCAGGCTGCAGAGGGCGTTTGCCCGGAAATGGGAGTTCATTTTCATGCAAGCAGAAGCACAAGCAAAGTGAGTCCTTGTGAGTCTTTTGGAAGATTTGCTCAAGTTGGGACCTTTTGTCCAGAGAGGCACTACAATTATTATCTGTATCACAAGAGGCACTACTTATGATTCATTGTTACGATGTTGACAGAGTGGACAGGAAGAGAGACAAGATCGAGAGGAAGATCCTCGACAGCCAGGAGAGAGCGTTCTGGGACGTGCACAGACCTGTGGTAAGCACACCAGCGTTGTCTCCAGTTCATAACCTCAGCCTTTGGAAGGCGAGGAATGCCCTGAGAAAGTGAGAGAAGAACCCCATGGCTTTTCCCGAAGTCTCGGTGAATTAGTTAGAAAAGATTGCTGCTTTTGTGTGAGATGACCAGAGTTCAGTAGTGTAATATCTAATTTATAAAACTATGCATTTTTCCACCATGACGTCACTTGCTCACTCTCGACATTTGAGGTGCTTAATGCTTTTATACCATTGAAAGCAGGAAGACTGTGACGAAGCCGTTTTGCATGGCTTACTGTTTACGTTTTTCTGGATTTATAGTAAAAGAGTAAGTCAAAATGTTGTTCCTCCCCTAATTTTTTTTTAAAACCTATTAATAACCTGCTTTGGATATCAGCTTTCACAGATGAACATTTTATTTTTTTATTTTTTATTTTTTTGATTTTAATTTTTGTTTATTGCAGTAACATCGGTTTATAACATTGTATAAATTTCAGGTGTACATCATTATACTTCTATTTCTGCATAGATTACATCATGTTCACCAGCCAAATACTAATTACAACCCATCACCACACACATGTGCCGAATTATCCCTTTCGCCCTCCTCCCTCCCCCTTCCCCTCTGGTAACCACCAATCCAATCTCTGTCTCTATCACAGATGAACATTTTAAATGGCTCAGATTCAAATCAGCTCATACTTTTAATGATGTAACTTGTCGTTGGATCCACATACAATAACTTAGCTGGTTTTCTTACATAATGTTAATCATGTGACTCAGAGTAACGAATAACGAATGTCCTTGATTAATACCAGAAAAATTTCAGTAAGAAATTAAACAATGATTATGAGCATTTATAAGGAAGGATGTCTAATCCCATATATTTCTTTCTATTTTGATGCTATATCTTTGTCTTCTATGTATTTCTTTAAATACAGACAAGGCATTAGGGAATAATATTTACATAACTATTATTAGAATAAATAACAGGTTCACAACATGAGACAAATCAAAATTGATGAGAATACCTTAAAATTTTCCTCTCAGCTGCCTTCAGGGTCAGACTAAAGTAGGTCTGTTTTCCAAAGGTTTGTTTATCTATATGTATTTCAGTTTCAGATAGCAATGCAATTGTTAAATTCTTCATTGAATTTTTCTCTCTTTTGAATTCACAACAGATTAGAATTGAGTCTTAACTGGCTTTCTTATTCAAAGTTCAGCTTGAGTTTTCTTGCTCATGGTGAAAAAGGATTGTGAGGTCACGTGCATAAGTATTGTAAGGATATGAAGTAGGATTTTTGCTTGTTGCTTGTTTGTGTTTAGCAATCTCTAGAAATTGGTCAATACATTATGTTTCCATGGTTATCCACTTTATGTCCATGGACATCTGGTGGCCCATCTCTAGCCTCATTCAACTTTGATGGTCCGCGTACTCTTGGCAACCCGAAAAGACACCCTCCACACCAGCTCCCCTGCACTGCCCACATCCGTTCCATGGCAAAGGCTCATGCTCTCAGAGTGTGTACATTGATCCCACCTCAACATGCTCCCTGTCTCCATCACCTGAGTGTTACTCAGCCGGTCCCCTGTCCTCTGTGTGCTCTGTTGGAGGCAGAACCTGTTTTTAGTTGTTTTTTGCACTATCTAGTGTGAGTCAGGCTCTGGTCCTCTGTGTCCCCCCAACAGCAAGGAGCACACATGCGTGCTCTCCAAGGGGTCCCCCACTGCGCCTCTCACTAGGCTTCTGATTAGAAATTCATCCCAAGGAGCATCTGGAGGCAGAAACCACCCTGAAGCTATTGGCTCCACCTCCCATATTCAACTTGTAGATGCTTATGAGGGGCTTGAAATGAGCACGTTGTGCAATACTTGGTCATTGCTTGTTTCCTAAAGGAAAAAAAAATAGGCTTCAGGTTGTCTGTGTGCCTCTGAAAATGGCACTGCCTTAATCCAACTCTTCCTCTAACTATTCGTTTTTCTTACGTTACAACTTCATGTCTCATTGGCTTTTTCTAAAAAAATTTAAACGTGTTGAAGTGGTCTCAGGTGCATATGAAGTGCTGACATATCTGGAGGCCATGTCAGCCACACAGGTGCGCCTTGTATCTTGTTTTTAGAGTTCTGGGTCCTTAGTGAGGGTTAATTGATAAAGATGATGCTGGCAGGGACATTAGCACCAAGACACTCCCACAGGAGCTTTTAATGGCTGTTTCCTCAGCAAAATACATAAGCTATATCTCTATTCATTGGCCATAGTGTTAACTAAGCAATGACAAAGAGAGCTTTCTAAGATAACTATCCCTTTAAAAAAACATGATATAGAGAAAAACAGCAATATTGTGATAGTTTCTGAGGATGGCTATGCTTCTGTGCTTATCCCTAGAAATTAATTCTGCAGCTGTCATAATGAACTCTAAATCAATATATTTAGAGCTGAAGTCTTGTATCTCATGCTTAAAGTTTAATAGCTATTTCTATAGCTGAGAGTCTGCTTTATAGTCTGTTCTGACTGTGGTGGTAATGGAAGACTCTTTCTACCCTGTGGTGGTCATCTTATAAAATTTATATGTCTTCCAAACAGAATCAATGAAGCCAAGTTTCCCATACCGACACCAAATTTTTTTCACCCAAGCAACCTAGAATCCTACAGTATGTACAGGAAAATATCAGACAAGATCTCTAACAGTCCAGAGGTTTATCTGGGATATGTGGGGTCTACCATTGTACATCATACCTCACAAGCAGATATCTCAGTATCCACGAGACTGTCCAGTTATGTGCTGGACATAGTTTAAGTCATGTCAGCCAGTGACCAGTGGCCAAAGTGAATGGGGAGACCAGTGGCAGAGTGGGAAGCACGTGGACTTTGGAGTTTGGCAGACCAGGGTCCATCATTTACTAGGCTCACCTTGGACAATTATTTACCCTTTCTGAGACTTAGAAGCCTCATTTATAAAGTGGAAATATACCGACCTGGCAGTGTTGATGTGAACATTGAATGAGGTCATATGTGTAAAGACAGCTGGCATGTTACCAGGCATGTGGAAGACAATCATTGTTCAACTTCCTTTGTGAAGAGATGCAGAGAGGAACAGGAAAAAGGATAACAGGCAAAACTGAAGGTAACAGCAGGTCATGTGAAGGAGATACCTACACATTGTCGGTTTCACCAATGTCTACCCATCCAGTGGAATGCAATCAAGGAGAATCAGAGCCTTCCTTTTTAGTTCCAAGGTCCAACCAGAATAATTTCTGAGACCACTCCCTCGGTAGTCTCCCTATCGCTTCAGCCTCATGATTCATTTGCATATACCTTGCATCAGATGGGCTGATCTTAACGGAATGCTGGGGTTGTTATCTTGGTGTTGACTAATTCTCACCTTCTTCAGTGGGCGCGTTTTCCTCACCACTGGTCCAAATGTGGCTGCTGCTGTTCATTGACAGTAATTGCTGATGTCGAGGCAGCTAATCTGTGGGATCTGGCTCTTAGTATCTCTCTTTTGTTTTCGGACTCTTTGTTTTCCGTACACTTTCCTTTTTTGTTTAGGCCTTTATTCTGTAACTTGGACTCTGTCTTCTAGGTTTAGGCAATATGAGAATTACAACAACGTGACCTTCCTTGGTGTTTATCGGCCAGTGTACTTGGAATGAGTCTGATAGTCTCGACTCTCCTCTTCAAAGGGATTATTCCCTACCCACCTGTGGAACTTTTTGAACTGTCTGGGGAGTAGCCTTTGTCCCCAGTGTTTTTACTTAAGTGTGTCTGTCCTGGATCCATCTGCCAATGCAATGACCTAATCACTGTTTCCTTCAAAAGCCATATCTGAACCTCATGGAACAAAGCATACCTCAACATGTCACCCTTTCTAAAACATGCAACATCATGTAATAAGACCATTTGTTCTATATCAGTATGTGCCAGACATTGTGCTAAGGCCAAGCATAAAAAGTTGATTAAAACATCGTCCTTAATTCCTAAAACTCACATCCAGTGGAAGCATTTTATGACCATAGTCACTGACCCAACAAGGTAGGTGTGGCTGCACCATTTGTTTTCTGGGGGAAAATACAGATGGCCATGGTATTTACATGGCTTGCCGTGTACACACAGCTAGTAGTGGCACAGCCAGGCCTGGAACCAATGTATCTCTGACTCTGTAGTCTGATTCACAAAGGAAGGGAGCAAAGGGGGAGTAGGTGGCTCCAGTCCAAGGAAACAGTTGTAGCAAGAGTGAGAGCCTCATTGTATGCATCCATCCTGCACAAAGAAAGGATAAATAGTTAGGTAGCAATATTCAATGTATGGCATATACATGTTTATAGAGGTCTTGTTAGAGGTATATTTTACTTGTATATTTTACTCTGGGTTTTTGAATATTCTTTTTTCATTCCTTTTGCTGTTTTCAACAGCCCAGAGTTCAGGGCATCTTTCAGACATTGTAAGCTACACATCCCTGATCTAGGGGAACCCAAATCCCATATAGAAAACCCCTCTCAGGATAGTTAGCCATCACTTCTGAGCCTTTTGGCTAAGATCAAGTGTAGGATAGTTAGCCAACATGCATCCTAAAAGGCTACTTCCAACAGTGTTGCCCCAATTAGTACTATCTCCTATATTTAGGTAAAATAATCTTGTGCAACCTATAGACTACATTATTTCAAGAATGATCTAAAATTTTTATAAAGATACAAATATATCTAGTTTACATAAATTATTAGTATGTGAAAGAGATTACAAAGAATGCCCTTATTTTTATTTGGGTTTTGAAAAAGACTAATTATAAAAATATGGACTAACCACTGCCAGTTTTAAAAGTCTAGAAATGGATATTCCCATTAAAATAAAAAGCTCTCTACTCAAATGTCACAGATTTATAACACAATTTCATTGAAGGACTTTTGAGTTATGTAATTCTATTTTCCTGGATTGATTTAACTTCATCAATATATAAAATATCTTTGTTTTCAAGATCCTGAAATGGAGTTATCCTAACAATA